AGTTGTGCCCTAATTTTTGGACATGTTGGGTTTTATACTCCCGACAAATACATCGAATTACTAGTCACGTGTATTTGTTAGGTCTGCCATTCCTCTCTATACGAGCCTGATAGTCCCATGTATATACATTGGGGCGAACTAAGTCTCTATCATTTACACAGGACTATTAGTTCCGTGTTGTTAAAAAGTAGTTTAATCTCTTAATTAGCGTTTGCTAATTATACAAGACTATTATTCCCTTGTATTTTAAAGAGAATATCTTGTAAAATTGACCTTTTTGTAGCCAACGTTGATGATGCAGCAAAAATAGGTCGAGTTTGTCAATTCTTTACTATTTTAGGGTCATTTTTGCTAATTATTATTCAAAAAATTCTCCATCTGTAAAGTTTGAATAGACCATGGGGGGCTTAATGGTGGTAGGTGCATATAGAGAATAATTTGAAATTTATTGGAATTTGGTGGGTGAATTGTTAATTATTTGTTAGGTTTCTGATAATTAGGATGTGGATGTGTTTGATTTTGTTGGCATCAATCAACGTCCATTATTTGAATTTTTTGGCCTATTATTTGAAATGTGGTTGTTTGTATTGGTTGCGTCCGACTGTCGACTACAGCAGGGAAATGTGCCCAAAAAAACGGCCTGACGTGATGAATATGGAAATCCCTGTATAGATCTCTATTAAATATCTTTCATTTTCATTGAATACATCTTCCAAAGATATAAAGATTTGAGGTTCATGTTTTTATATCCTTGAGTTTTTAGAATATGCGCTTAGAAACCTTTGTTTTACGCAATGGTGAGAATATTCCCCCAAATATTTCTATATGACACTCACTTGCTAAGTTTAGAACTTTTTAATTCTTATAATATTTGTTGGGTGAGAAGTGAAATCATTAATTGTAAAGCTTTTCAATTCTATATTGGTAGGTCTAAAATAATCTTCGAATATATTTAACAATATATTCATCAGACATCAAGTGTTTAAAAAAGATCTAATAATTAACATATAAACCTCACATGGAATATTGATAGGAATATCTCACATTTGCACAACAAAATTGCATTAAAGTGCAAGTTTTTAAGAACTTCATGGTATACGAGTGAGGGCATACTAGTGGAAAGTAGGCAAACTATAATGTATTAAGTGCTAATTAGTCTAGTAATCATAACATACTCTCTTTAAAAGTGCGAGTTGGGAAAAATCTTTCCATAGTTAATATTACCCTTACCTTTTTTAAATATTATATTGTTATCCTAATCTATTTTAATTTTCCTGTCTTCTTTGAATTTATAATTAAATGATTTATCCTATTCATAATGAGACTTAACATGTTATTGGATACATGTGATATGTTTGATATAATTCAAATCTTTTACTTATTTCAATTTGCAGAGAAATCTAAAAAATACATGCTAGTCAGCACCTAAAATTTTTTTAAGCCTTGTAAAAAATACCCTCTAAGTTTTTAAATTACAAAAACACCCCTATAAATTTAAAATTTTATTAAAACATCTTAAAAATTATAAATTTTACTTATTTCACTTCAGTGAGAAATCTAAAAAATATATGCTAGCTAAAAAATAAAAGTTTTTGACATTGAAGAAAGTATCTTGTAAGATTTGAAAAATGAAAAAACACCCACATTGAAAATTTTAAACCTATAAACACACTGAAAACCTACAAATAACACAAACAACCCCCAAAAATTTATAAAATTTATAATAAAACTCTAAACTTTTTATAAATTGCAAGATAAAATCCTCAAGATTGTAAAATTTATAAAATCCTAATAATTTTCAACCTAACAGTACATTGGAAATATAGGAGTTACAAATATTCCATGCATAATTTATAATTTATAGAAAACACCCTTAAAGTTTTAAAAATTACAAACAAACACTCAAAATTAAAATTTTACAAAAAACTCCCTGAAAATTTCAAACTCATTAGTAAATTGAAAATATAGGAAATATAAATAGTCTATAAACAAATTACAACCTATAGAAAAGGCCTATAAGTTTAAAAAATTACAAAAAACCCTAATATTCATAATTTACAAAAATACACTATGAGAATTTTTAACCTATAGACACTAAAATGAATATACAAAATTACCAGCAACCCCTAGAAAATAAAAAAATTACAACGAAATATCATACTCCCTTTAAAAGTATAAGTATAGGAAAAACTTTTCATGGTCAATATTACCCATAACTTTTTAAAAAGAACATAACTAATTAAAAATCTATTAGAATTAAAATTTACAAAAAAACAAACTTAAAGTTTACTACATTGCAAATTACCCCTCCAAATTTTGAAAATTTTCAATGATTTTTTGTAGTTTCATGATTTTAATGTAATTTTTAATAGTTTGGTGTATTTGTTAATTATAAAAGTTAAGGGTGTTTGTTTTTACAATTTTAAAAAACTTTTGAGGGTATTTCTTTTGTAGTTTTCTAAATTTTCATTGTGTTTTTAGTGTAATGCATAGATACATCAATTAATAATGATATTGAAGAGGAAGTCATTCTTAAGATGTATTAGGCAGTTAAGTGTGCACATCACTATTCCTAGGCAGTATAGTTCATATATGCAAAATTTTTTAAACAATCTATATAGTGGTTAAAAGGTTTTTGACTTTAATGTACTATTTTTTATAAATTGTATTTAATGTGAACCCACCATATAATTTTAATTGTGGTCATTATAATTTTAATATGTTTAATCGATTGACTATATAGGTATATAGACCATAGATTACTTTACTTTCTCGCATGAACTAATATTTTGCACTTAATAATTTAAATTATTACTTTTAAATTATATTTATTTATTTAGCTACATGATAATATAATTTCAATTCCTATTTTTTTTCTTGAGATTTATTTTATAGTTACGCGTATCAAATTAATAACTAAAATAAAGATTATTTATGCTTAAATTATGATGATTGTAGTTAGTCACTCACTATGAAATTTTTATGAATATATATACCTTACTTTCTATAGCTCTCTGCACCGCCCATATATATTTTATAAATTAGTTGTTAATTTGATGTATTAAATTACTTTTCTTTTGTAGAAATTTCTTCTTTGACTTTTGGATTATGTAATCACTATGTCACCATTCTAGTGTAGAAAGGACCTCATTCGAAATAGCTTCAAGCCAATGTTTAAGTTGAACTGAAGTATATACTATTACTACTATGTATATATATTTTTTAAGAAAATTATGTCGATGCTTTTTAAACAGAAAAGAATATTCTAATCTCTGATAGTATAAAAATAAAATATAGCCAACTGAGTGACTAGCAAAAGAGGACTTACATCAGAAAAGTATGAATAATATGATAAGGGGAAAGGTAATGACATTGCCAACAGTATTACCAATAGCAAACTACAATATAAAGTTAACCTATTTTGTGGAGCCCAACTATTGCCTATAAGCATCGAGGTTTCCATATATATACTTTATAATTTGTTAAAATGGGTATATAATCTTATATAATAAAATTGATTTAATACTAAATAGTAATATCATTGTAAATGCACAATTACAAAGATGTTAGGGACTAACATGTATGTATTTAAGATTTCAGGACGAATATCTTAATAACCTATTTATATAAGCACACCCACTTTGTTACTTATTTTGTTCATTTTTTTCCTTGCTCATTCTCCACCAATTTTGCTGTCATGCTCAAAGAGAATTAAAATTCATTTCGGTGAGGTCTTCTCTCCCTCTATTCCTCGATCTTATTTTTTTAAATTAGTTTCTTTAATTCTTTTTTAATAATTTCTTGGATTCATTTCATGCTTCATTCTGTGAAGTGCCTTGTTAGATTCAATTTAAATATACTTTTATTTCAATTGTTAATTTTTCCTATTTATGGGTCAATTAATCACCAGAATGTTTAGGTCTTTTCACCCATTTTATATTTTGAATTAACAATTTATTTTAGGAGAATTTTTAAAAAGATCGTTTTTTAAAAATATTAGCAAAATCAACTATTTTACATAATAATTAACAAAATTGATCTCTTTTTTGCCACACCATCAAGACTGGCAACAAAGAGGTCGATTTTGTATAAAAACCATCTTTAAAATACACGGGACTAATAGTCCCGTGTAATTAGAGAACATTAATTACAAAAGTAATTAAAGTTAGAAAATATACGGGACTACCACTCTTGTGTATTTTGCAGTCAGAACTAGAAAATACATGAGACTACTGTATATGTCCTATATACAATATAATTGCTCCAGGCAAATGAGTTATAATAGCATTTTCCATTCACATTGTTTGGAGTAAGATTTTATAGGGACCTTGCATCAAAGAGATTTTTTTATATTTAAAGTACATATCGATATATATCATAATCTTCCTACTATAATTTCACAAGAAAACAATTATTCATACTTTCAGTTTTTACTTCTATGGTACGAAGAATGAGCTATAAAATTAAATGAGAATATTAGATAATATAAATATGATTGAAACCATAACTAAAAAGTAATGTGAATATGAGTCAAACCACAACTAAAAGTTTAATGGATATATTGTAAGTAAATTCATAATGCAAAATTCCTTAATGAATTGAATGATCACTCATCTTTTAAAGACTTCAAGATACTAATAAACAAAGATATTGTACTAGATCAACGTGTTTATAATTCACAAATAGTAGAGCACGTGGCGACAGTCTGGGTTGAAGGTAACAATGACAATATCTCATTTGAAAAGGAGATTATTGTGTGGATAATCAATCCCGCAAAAAACTTTATTTTTTCTTTATTTTTATTCTATTTTTATCAATGTAAATCACCATGATGTTCGATCACATGCATTGCACGTGCAATCTAACTAGTAATCCACGAATGCAACAGAAATCAAAGTGAACTTGTGAATCCACAACTGGGCCGTACCAAAAAATGGGCCGTTAGGTCGGCTTCAAACTCTCAGGCCCAGGCAACAAAAAAAAAAGAGCGTTTACCAAAATCTCAAAATATTCAACCTCGATGAAACCGTGGCCATCGCCAATTAACCATCTTCCTTCCTCCTTTTCTGATCGCTTCTCGAAAGGGGGAGGAAAGATTCAATCCTCAGGGATGTGGAAAATCTATGTCGGGAATCTGAGCTCTCGAATCAGAGAGCGGGAGCTCGCCGAAGCGTTCAATTCCTTCGGTCTCGTCAGAAGGTAACCCTAGATTTTACCTGCTTAATTTGACCATGAACTCTGGATTGGGTTCGGTAGTTGCTTGAATTTGAGATGTACTATGCTGAAAAAAATGGAGGATTTTTTTTGGGGTGGTTGTGGTGGGTGGGGGTGGGGGGGGGGGGGGCGTTGAAACCGTAGATTTGGTTAATGAGGGATTAGTTTGGGAGATTTTGCAAAGCTTGCTCAAATCCCTCGAATCTTTTATATACAGTTGCATTGTTAGAATCTTGCTCGATTTTATACTTGACTATTTAGTAGTGCTCGTCCCTTAGGGATTGACAAGGGCCTGTCTTTTCCCTCCAAATCCAAGTTTTGGGGACACTTTTTACAACAGTTTTTCTAGATGATCCATTGATTGTGCATGCAACCAGTTAATTCTCATGCCTTGTTAGTAGCCAATAAGATGAATTTATTTCACAAATGGGTCGACCATGTAGATTTATAGTGGGGATGCACACAAGAAAATGAGAGGTGCCATTTACTACACTACACATTTTTTATTCTCTCTCCCGCTACAACACTCAGACACAAGTACTAGCGCCACAAGCTCTACCTCACATCCACTAAATTTCTCACTAGGGTGGAATAGTGGCGGATCCACGATTTCTAGAAAGTGGTGCCACTATATACTTAATAGTCAAAAAAATACAATTGTCACATACGAGTTTTCATATTTGGAAAAAGTACATAATCACATCATTATTAACACTATAATATATCTTTTTTAATGGGGCTTTTGCATATATACGCCCGCAAATCTTGCATATTTTCTAAATTACCCCTCAAATTTCGAAATTTGCAAAACCGCCCTTCAAAGATTGGGAATTTGTACCCCTCACTTATTCTGTTAGGGTTTGTTCTTGGTATATTACCTAGAATCTTGTTGGTATGGTTAAATATTACTAAAAATGACTAATATATCTCAATGTTGAAAATAACGATAACACATAAAAGTAGCACTAAAACTCCTGTTAAGGGTTAAAGAAAAAAAAGCAAAAAAGCGTAGCTCATAATGTAGGTTATGTTGTTTATTAATTATTTAGATATTTTATAAATACAAACAATTCGGAATAACTTTAATAGTTAGAATCATCAAACTTTTCAAACATAACATCATAATTATCAAATATAGAAATATAGTATCACAATTTCTTAACAAAAGTCAGTCATACGTGACTAACACTGATTCCAAAAAGCATCATCACATGATTAAAATGTCAACATCGTCAAGTTCAAAGCAAGCAAACAAGTCTTCACAACCCTAAACAATCTCGAGCATTAATAAATCCTACAAAATAAAATCATCTAGATTTATCTCTGAAAAATAACCAAGCCATCATCTTCTAGAATGTAATTTGCATCCGCGGGATCCACTTCATCTTCAGTGGCAATCTCTTTCCTTTTTACGAGGAGGATGCTGTAGAAAAAATTTCAATCAATAACTCAAATATTCATTCAAATAGACGTTACATTGAAAATTTCTAAGAAAGCTTACAAGAGCTATCAACTCTTTGTTTCTTTGCGTAGGAGCATCGTATCTTCTTGTCTTCTTTCGCAATAGCTGTACTGTCAATTGCAGCAACATTGAGATATTCTTTATCTCCATCATCACCATCTAGCTAGCTCAGATTGTCCAGAATATAAGGCTTGTCCTCAACTATTCACTTATCGGTAGGAGATACTTCATCCAACAAAATTAGATTCATCTTTTGCGCCTTTCTTCACATATTTCTCTCTTAGCTTGATATTGTACATGACATAAACAAGAGAGTTAAGGCTTTCCTGCTCTAAACGACATCTCTTTTGAGTCTTTTCTGAGTGGACCTTCATTGAAGAGTACCAACTTATAGTATTATAAGGTAAAATATATTAGTTGAATTCTAGAATTGAAAATTTCCATCTTTGCTCAAAAGTGCTCTAGTTCCGCTTGCACGTGGATGCACTTGTAGTGAGCAAGAGAATACGAATTGTGAATCCCTTCTGATTTAGAGTCTCATCCCCAAAACTATCCCACCAAGAAGCTATACAATTAAAAATCGAAAGTCAACATAACAAACCACCATCACTATAAAATTAAGATAGAAGAAATTGTTAAATTAATACATGGAGTACGATAACTAAGAGTTTTTTGAGCCATGAATGTTCCAAACTCTCTTCACTTTCCCTTGTAAGCATCTAGCTCACGCTCAGCTAATGCTTTCTCATCTTCGTCAGGAATCATGCGACTCATGCACAAGCATAGTCCTGTCTTCTATCTCTAAATCCTCCATAAATCTGTCCCCATAGAATAATTTCAGAATAAGGTAGTAAGTGGCGGGATGGATAGATTGATGCAACATATTCATTCATCTAGAATCAATTAGCTTCTAATAAGGTGTGTACAATCTCTTTTTTCCAACACATGCATGCGTGATCTTCTCCTTTGCACTGTCCATCATCTCATATAATATTGGCATACAGGGTCTGACATCCGAATCTACTTCCTAGAGGACATGAACTAGTGGAAGTGTGATGGGGAAACAAAAAAGTAACTTTCCAAGAATTCTCTAGTGTAAAGAACCTTATCCTCTGCCTTCACTCATTTTGCCTTCTTTGCCCAACTGCTTCTTTGGACTTCCTCAGAAGCTTAAAGGATATTTTAAACAATGCAACCTGTATAGTGTCAAGAAGGATGTGACGAATTGAGTAATAGCAGGCCTCAATAGCTCCTTTCTACTCGTGTACTTTCTCATCAAGCTCAAGGCCTAGGAATGATTGTAAATGAATTGTATTACTCCTTTTGCATCTTCAAGAGTATCCCAATGTATCTTCATTTTTGCAATGTCCAACATAGGGTCAATGCAATGTGTCACACATGGTGACAAATAAAGTGACTTCCTCTTGTCCATAAGCTGCTTCGCGACGTGCACATATGAGGCATGATTATTGGTGATAACTTGAAGAATATTCTTCTCTCCAATCTCCACCATATGATCAAGGCACTTAAAGAGATACTTCCCGTCCATTATAACCGCTGACACATCACTAGACTTGTAGAAAAAAGTCTCTCCAGTGAGTTCATGAGGGAGTTAATCAAACTCCTACTCTTATTGTCTAACCATCCATTGGACGTGCATCGATACTTTTCTAATGCCTTCTTACGTGTTGCCTCTATGACATTGATATTCTCCACTTCATTCTTAAGCACATACATCCTTATCTCATAAGGAGTAGGAAGCTTCAACTCGGAGCCAAACTTCACGACCGACTCCGCCATCCCTCTCTAGTATGAGCTGTTCAAGATGTTGAAAGACAACCCATTAGAAACTATATATCCACCGGTCTTTTGTACCATCAACAACCTTTATTCTTTTTGATTATGCTCTCTATCGTCGTTTGCTGGCTCTGAATATTGACAAATTGGTCAAATGTGCTAAAGTTTTTATGGACTATTGGACTTAACTAGTGCTACCATGTCTGCTTGGTTCCTTGAAGCTCTCAATCTTCTGGTCGATTGTATTTCTTCCATCCTTCCAATTGATTGAAGCAATGTCATCTTTTGTATGGATTCCACACCTTTTAAAACTTTCCCAAAATACATCTTCACTGCTTCTGGAACTTTATCACATTTCTTCACCCCTTTCTGGGTATTGGCTAAGTGATGTTTAAGCCGTGTTACACCCTTCGTGATATGGTGGTCGCAATACTTGCAATAGAGATGTTGCAGTAGTTCCCCCTCTTTCAAAATAACATGCTCTCTCACAGGATTAAACTCTTAGATATTGTTCAATATCCTATACTTTTGCACATCTTCAAAAGCAAACATACAAATCAAATTTCCGATTTACAAATAACTTAATGAACAATACCAATTGACCCTATGAATCACTAATCATATTAAAGTTTACTAACTTCTAATTTTTAGCTATCTTCACTTCACAAAATATATCCTAGTTCCTAATTGAGTTCACAACATCAACCAAAATCAAGCATTATTTTGAAATAATAAATTTAGTTTCACTAAATTAAGCCTAGTTAACTTCATAAAACCAATCAAATCAAAACATTAATTGAAAATTAAACTTTAACTAACTTCACAATAATCGAAAAAAGGAAAAAAATTACCTCAACGGAGCTTGCAGCCGTTACCGATACGCTCAGATGAAGCCTCAGTTCTCTCTTGAGGAGTTGTAGAGAAGCAGGGCTAAAGATAGGGTTGGAGTATTTATTGAAGTGATGTCTAAATTATCGTAAAAAAATTACCTCAGAGTCACTATCCAAGGAGTGGGAGGCTGGACGACTCTATCCAAGGAGTGGGAGGCTGGAGGAGTTGCAGAGGGTTCGTCAAGGAAGTTTGAGGAGGGATAAGACCTAGAGGATATATCGCAAGGGAGGAGCCAGAGATGAGGCTAGGGTTTGTGTTTGTGTTTGTGTTTAGGGGAAGGAGATGGGGCTTCTTGCAGCACGATGGAGCTTTGTTGCGGCGTCGGAGTGGGGGAAGAGAGGGAGCTAGACGATTTGTTGAAGTAGGAGGAGCTAGGGATGTGCTCAGGTTGTGTTTGGGGGAAGAAGATGGGTCTTCCGACGCTACGATGGAGCTTCGTCATTGGCGCTAGAGTAGGGGAGGAGATGGAGTTGGAGGATTTGTCACTAGGGTTTTTGTTTGGGGAGGGAGGGTGAGACCACATATACTTTGATGTGAATAGGAGGGGCATCAAGGATTACATCTTAATGGGATAGAGTTAAAATGACTAGCTGACTGAGATGCATCCAAGTGTAAAAATTGGAGATACAAATTAACTCAAAAACGCACATTCTATTCGACATTGCTAAACGCTAATTTCACGGAATTTAACGCGTTTATTTCTTGCATTAAGCGTTGTATGCGTTAAAAGGGTGGGTTAACTAACATTTTCTTCCCATTAGGTTATAAAACACATTAAAACGCATGACAAAACCTACATTTTCAACATTGATATACCCTGCCCTTATTTAATTGG